ATCAGCTTAAACCCCTGTTTAGGGAGGGGTTTAGGGCTCAGCAGAGCCCTGAGGTTTGAGCCACCACTGCCAGCAGGACCCAAGGTGGGAGTGGAGTGGGGACAGATCTCCTGAAGGATTAATTAGCTTGGGAGTGATCTCAAAACAGGGAAAAAAAAACCCAAACAGGGATTGATGTCAGCTCCAACATGCAGCCAGACTCCAGTGAGTTTGGGATTTGGAGGACATCCTGATTCCCTGCTTCCTGCTGCCAGGAAATAAGTTTGTTGCTGCAGATTTCACTGACATCAAAAGCCAAAGTCAACTCAAAATGCCCTCCTGCATTTCAAAAATGAAAATTATTCATCTGGGGAACATTACACATGAAAAAGACAAAAAAGATGATGATGCCAGGGAGCAACAGACTTCCAGCAACATCTTCATTACAAGGTATTTTTCTCTTTAAAGAGCCCATGGAGTCAAGAATCCAATGTCATGTGCAATAGGCAGCAGGCATAATTCAGCATAGAAATTAGGAGAGCCATTATTATTATTATTATTTTAATCACATAAAAGGACTCTCCAGGGTTTTGCAATTTTGTGATCACAGGGAAAGAGACCCAGAGACAGAAGAGAAAAGGTGCAGTAAGTGATTGCACAATTGGAGGTTCCCATTTCTCTTCTGGTGGCCGGGATATTGCTGAATTAATATTTTCACTCAATTATCTCTGTTACATATTCACAGACCAACTCCTGTTGCTTCTAACTGGGCTGGGTGTGTTTGCTGCCTGCTAAATGCTGGAGAAGGAAGCAGCTCTCTGGGAAATGGTTGGCTCAGCTGGCCAGACTGGGGGCACGTGGAGATTTTGGGGTCCAACACCTGAGCTGGCAGCCCCAGAGCAGGTGCTGGTAAAAGCTGCTGTCACAGGAGCTTCTTGGGGGTGTTAAATCCACTGGGGATTCCTGGGATTTCCAGTGGATTCCTGGAACCTCCATCCAGATCTGAGCCTGGCAGGTCACAGTGCCACAGGGCAGAGACAAAGTCTGGTGGGATCTGCCAGGCAGAACAAATCTGAAGGTCCAGAACCCACCAGGTCCTGATCCCACCCATCTGAAGGTTCTGGACCTCAGGACAATCAGCTGGGTCCTTTCCAGAGGCTTCTCTGGATGTATTCCTGTGGTCACTGCTTTTCTTCCCCTTTCTTTATCCTTAGAGCCAAACCAGCCCTATTTCCAGGCAGCTGAGGCCAGTGACCTCCTGTCCTCAAAGCAAACAGCTCAGCCGGAGTCAGAGCCCAGCACGCAAACACAGCCATGGATTTTCCAGGAATTCCTCCAGCCTGGGCCCTGCCACCAGGCAATCAAACACGAGAGAGCCCTGCTGCAGGGTGAGGTGCAAACACCTGCAGGAATTCAGTGCAGCTGCTGGCAGAGCTGTGGCCTGGCAGTGCCCTGGCTGTGACAGTTGGCACTTGGAGCGCCTGCCTCACGGTGCTGCAGAAACTCAGCATATGCTGAGAGGAGCCATGGCTGCAAGGAGGCAATTCATGATCTCAGGCATGATATCGAGTGGGGAAAGAGGGGAAAAAAGGGGGGAAACCTGGTTAAGGTTTGCTATTTTTAAACTAAAATTAATAAACCAACGTGCATTTAGGTGGTGAGAAACGCCTAACAGCACAGCAGGGTTCCATATTTACTTGCTGTCACTGATTTCAGAGCAAATTGGCTCAGGGTATAAGTCAAAGAAAGATTCTTCTGTTGCCAGCACTGCACACTTCAAGAGATATCTGAAAATCAGGCTTCTCACCTTATCATTGTTAAAAGACTGTGCAATCAAAATGTAACTGACAATTCAGCTGATGCACGAGCAGAACGAGGTGCCAGCTCACTCTCCCGTAGCTACAGAAGCTCTGTAAAGCTATCAGGATTTTAAAAACATTTTGTCAGAAAAATAAGTGGCTCTGACAGAGCTGGGGAGTGGGCAGAATAATAATGCAGTGCTCTGGAGCTCAGGGTGACAGGTGCATTTCAGGGGCTGTGGCACACAGAGCTGCTGCCCTGCAAACACCACTGAATTTAATCCCTACAGCACCCAGGGCAGCAGGGCTGAGGTGGCTGAGAAGGGTTAAAATCACTGCATCAGCACTGGGAGCAGAATTTGTACCTGCACATCTCCAGCCTCACCCTCAGCCTCAAGCTCAGCTGTGCCATTTTGCTTAAATGTTCCTAAACCAGCTCGTTTGGGGTCTGGTTTGATCAGTGCCTGGCATTCTGCAGACAGCCCTGAACCTAAAATTAATGAATAATAATTATAATAATACATATAAATAATAAATACAACAATAACATTAATTAATAATTAACCCCCCAAGCTGTGCAGCCTTTAGGAGCATCTGGAACCTCGTGATGTGGGGTTTGCTCCAGCAGAGATCGCCCCTCACGCTCCGTGGGGCACTGTGCCCACTCCCATGGCACCATTGCCAGGGCAACCATCCCACAGCTGAAAGCCTAAACCGTGTTCACCCCACTGGAGGGCATGGGCTGGGCTGCTCAGCGTGGCACTTCTTATCACAAGCATCACTGATGAATAATTAATGCTGATGAAAGGAGCACAGCTTGTGGGTTTAAGGAAAGGGCTCTCGAGCTGCAGTGATTGTAAATGACAGCAATCACAGGAGTTCTGTGCAAATAAACTCAGTCCAGAAACGTGGGAGAGGCTTGATGAGAGAAACAGGAGCTGCAGAACACCAAGCACCAGCAGGAACGTGAGACCAGGTCTCCAGATCACAGCCCAGGAGAGGGGGGATGCTGAGAACACCTGGGAAATGGCAAAGTTGGGTCTCTGGAGAGATTAACAGGGCTGGGCATCCAAGTTTTCCTACCTGGGCAGGAAAAATGGGGAGGGAGGCTCTGTCCTGGCTGCCAGGAGAAGCAGGACACTCTGCAGGAGCAGAATTCAGAGTTCATTTTTATTTCTGCTTGGACTAGAGGGAATATTTGATCCAGAGCAGCTCCCCCCAGGCTGAGGCTGCCAAACTGGAGGCTCCAAGTGAGCAGCAGCACATCCACAACAGCAAAATCACCCTTCAGGAACTTGATTGCTTCCCATGCACGCAAACACGCTCCAAAATAGCCCCAAAAAGGTTCCTCCCCTCCCACATGGCAGCAGCTGCAGAGAAATCTCAGCTTAATATTGACATTTCCAGCCTGGAGAGCACCCAGCCTGCCTCCTTCCCAGCTGGAGCTTGGGATAAAAAGCCACTGGGAGTGAGAGGAGGGGGAATGGGCAGCAGTGCAGGGCCACAGTGCCCTGTGCTGCCTCCTCAGAGTCTCTGAAGGGCAGAGGGACAGAGGGCTGCACCAAGGGATTCCCTGACACTGCCCTCCTGTAGAGGCACAGCCAGGAGCAGGAAAAGCCTATTAAAAGGCTGAAATGTACCATGTAGCTGCTTTTCTGCAATTGTCTGCAAATCCTCGTGCTCCAAAGCATTTTTCTTGAGAGTGCTCACAGGCACACTGCAAACAAGCATAAGTACTGTCAATTGTTTTAGCATGATAAATGCATTTTAAAGCTTTCAATATTTTTGTCTGTTTACTGGCACACTCCTTGAGGAATTTTGACAAGCTTGCCAGAGTGGAAGAGCTGCAAAATGCTTCAGCTTGCCCTGAACTCCATGCAAATTCTCCATTAAAGAACCTGGCTGTGGCTGGAGGGGCTGAAAGAGCAAAGCAAAGGCCAAACCCACCCAAATCAGTGCTCCAGGCACAGAGGGGCTGGCCAGGTGCAGGGGCTGCTCACACCCAGCCTGAGACAATCCCAAACCTCCATCCCTGAACCTCCACAAGGGTTAATGGGCTTCCCTGCAGCCCAGCCCAGCTGTGAGCCAGATGTGCCTCCCCACCCCTCAGCAAAGGACCTGTCCCTAATGTCCCATCTAAGCCTGCCCTCTGTCCCTCTGAAGCCACTCCTGTCCCTCATAAATGACCTCTCCATCTTTCTTGTCCTCCCTCAGGTCCTGGAAGGCCATAACCAGGTCACCCCAAGCCTTCTCTTCTCTCCCCTGATGGTGTCAGAGACACCTGGGGCCATTTCCACCTTCACACCTCCCTTCCCCACAGCTCAGCCCCCAAAGCTGAGCAGGATGAGGGCTGGGCTCCACACAAAGCAGAACTCCACAGGCTGAAAGCTCCCCCCAGGTCCTGGAGCTGATGTGGAGAAGGAGCTGGGGACCTACAGAGTGCACAACAGGATGGGAGTGTTCTCCAAACCCTCAGTGCCTCCCTCTGCAATCAGCTCACGGGTGACCTGCCCACGGAGGGACTCCAGGAGATAATCCCTGCACACACATCCCCTGGAAAGGAGCCCAGAGCCCTGTGCACAGCAGGAATTCCCTAGGGATGGGAAGGGAAAGGAAAGGAAGGGCTCAGGGAGCAGAGCAGGGAAATGCTCTGACTGCAGAGCAGCAGAAAGACAATTTATATCCCCAAAAGCCAACAAATACCCCAAAGCCACAACAAGTATCCCACCAGAATGAGCAGGGGAACAGCACTGAAAGTGGCTCCCATAAAAAAAGGTAATCTGCTAAAGAGTAAAATTATACAAGCCAGTTAGCACAGAGTATAAAGAGCTTTTAATATTGATTCACTCAATATTTCATGGAATTCACATCTTGCTCAACAGTGAAGAAATGAGAGAGAGAAAATGCTCAATTTGGTCAGGTCCTGAAGCCTACAAGCCCAGACAAATAGCAGCATTGTCAGCTCTGGGCTGGCTTCATGTTTTAATAAAGACACTTTCATTTTAGCACATTTGGTGCTGGCTGTGCACAGAGAGGAGCCCCAGGCTGGGACTGGGAGCTGCCTGCAGGGATGAGGTCCCAGCCCTGGGACAGGCACAGCACACAGATTCACAGCCTTGCTGCTCACCACCAGCAAGAGAGACAGGCTCAGAGCTGGGACAGGCACCTCCCTGCCCTGCACACGTGGCTTCCAGAGCTCAGGAGAAGTGGAATTGCACTCACCAAACATGTTCCCGATGTGGCCGTTCTTGGTCAGCGGGCGCAGCTCGTTCTTCCCCAGGGCGTACTGCTTGTAGTTATCCCAGGCAAACTTCATCATCTGGGGGGGCAAAAGGCAGGGGGAACAGTCAGCACCAGGGAGAATTTCCACACCTGAGCTCTGGGAATCCATGGCAGGTTCCCACTCACTGCTACAGCCACGGCCCGTTGATGATAAAATCTTAATTCCCACTGAACACCAGGAGTGGGTTAGAGTTAGGGTTGGGAAGTCTCCAGCTCATCATTTCTGGGGAAGAACCTGGCACACCTCCCACCAAAACCCCACAATTCACCTTGGCCCTGCAAACCAGGTGGGATTTGTAAAAGGCTGTCTCCACCTCTGAATGTCCAACCTTTTTCAGAGAGTAGCAGCATTTCAGGAAGTTTGTTAAAATGGGCTAAGAATGCAAGGCCAAAGCTGATCTGTGGCCAAGTACAAGGAGGAACTGATCTTAGGGACTGCCCAGAGGTTTTCATTCTGTAAATTGACAGAATACATTCCCAAAGACCAAACCCATGACATTTTGTTATCTTCTATCAGAACTCCACAGTGCTCTCTTCAGAGAGCTCTGCACAGGGGCTGGGTGATTTCTGAGCAACCCCTTCCAACTCAAACAATTCCTTTTGGGATGTTTGAGCTGTCCTGCCCGGGCCCAGCACCCTGACCTTCCCCTGAGGGCTGCAGGGCAGTGCTTGTGCAAGTTCCAACACACACACACATCCCAGAGCAGCCTCTGCTGTCCTCCTGCCCCTCTGGGAGGCCAAATTAAACATGCAAGTGTCCTTTCTTCACCTGGGAGAGACTGGGGCTCGTCAGCTTCCCAGGAGTGCCTGAAATCAAGCTGCCTTCTCTAACCCCCAGCCTGACTCTGAGCAGCCCCAGCCCCAGCACTGCACTGACCTGAACATCCTTTGATTCAATTCCTGGCAAAAAAAAAAGATAACAAAGGGGAAGAGGGGGCTTCAGAGAACCAGCCACGTTCTCCAACCAAGATAAGAGAGGTCTGAAACGCTTCCCTCAGACCAGGCTTTTGAGGGAACACGGCAGTTTAACACAATCCTTCCTGCACAGAGCGCTCCTGTCCCACGGCTGCAGCAGTGCTGGCTGCTCTGCTTCAGGGTCAGAATCACAGGTTCCCTTGGTCTGAAATTCCTCCTGAAATTCCTCCTGTCATCTCAGCTCTTACTCTCCCCTCCAGCTGTGTGTTTCACAAACCCATCACAAGCCCCTGGCAGTATCCTCCTTAATTAGCACAAAGCCACATCCCCAGCTTCCCCCCTCCTTTTTAAACATCAAGCTTCCAAAGCAAAGTTTCCTGGAGCTGTTCAGATGGAGCAGGATAAACATTTGCTGAACTGATTGTTAACACTCAGGCTCCAACACCACCAGGAGATGGAATGCTGGACAAACAAATAAAGCCAATTTGGGGGTTAAAAACTCAGTCTGGGATGAATTAGTGAGTGGAGAACTAAATAATGACCCAGGGAGGGGGAAGAACCCCTCCACAAAATGCACTCAAGCATGTCCCAGGCATGTGCCTCGGGGTGCTCACTTTAGTTTTGCCAAATCTCTTTTTGTTTTTGTTTTTTTTTTTTTCCCCAGTGGAGGCAGGTTCTAAATGGGAAGCTCTCATTCTCCATGAACACACACCAGGGTGAATCTGTGAGGAGCTCTGGCTCTCTCTGGGCAATGCAGAGCAATGCTGTGTGTCAGAGCTTGCTGCTGGAGCTGGCAGCAGGGAGGATGGTGTTTGTCAAGGCAGCACAAGGAACCAGCCAGGCACTGCTCTCAGCCAGGGCTGGCCATGGGGACCCACCCTCCTGGCACACACAGGACGTGGAAATGATTCTAAATGTTCCCTAAAACTCCTAATCCTGAGTCAGCCTCATTTTAAGCTGAGTATGAAATTTGAAGTTATTTCCTTCCCTCGACTTCTTTAACCTCTCCAGTGCAGAAGGTCCAGGGTGAACCCACCCAGCTGTGCTGGCACAGCTCCCTGAGGTGCCTACAGGCATGGAAACCACCCAGGCTTCCCTTCAGCCTCCAAGAGCCCCATCTACAGGGAAAATCCCCTCTTTCCCTGTCTCCTCACCAAGGAGGGACAGCCTGAGGCTCCCCAAAGTGCCCCACGTCCCCCAGGATGGAGCCAATACCATCATGCACCCCTCATCTGCCTCTCCAACCATTTCAGCTGCCTTGGCCACACTGCTGTGAGAAGCTCCCCAGCACAAATTTCTGTCCCAAGCTCTGGCTCTGCTCAGCCCTGAGCTGATGCTCTGGGGATGGCAGTGCTGCCTCATGGAGCTGCCAGGCTCCCTTCAGGTGGAGCACACACGGTGCTGGCTGCCTTGGAACCCTGCAGATTTGGGAGGCAGGATGCAGAAGGTGGCAGCTTTTCATCTCCCAGCATCCCAGAGCTTGCCTCTCTCCACTGACAGCTCCAAAAAGCAGCAGCTGGAAAAGGTGAAGAGCCAAAAAAGCATCTGCACCACTCCGCCCGTTCTGGCTGCCTGCAGCTGCCTCTCCAGCCCAAATTTAGCACCTCAGCTTCCAAAGCACTGGAGGGATGCAGCAAGGTCCTGAAAAGGGGGGCTCCACATTCACAGCAGCTTCCTCTGAGCAGAGAACCCAAACTCCAGGCTGGAAGGGAAGGGATGGATGCAGGAGGGAGGGGAATGTGTGTGGTGAGGTGTTCCAGGCTCATTTCTGATGAGCCACCAGGATGAGAAGTGAATATTTTATGAATTCTGGTCCTGACACGTTACAATACATCAGTGTTAACATTGTGCCATTTTGCATTTGAAAAATGGCACTGGAACCACAAAAATTATGGAAATAGATCCATAATTCCAGATTTTGTTCTCAGCAGCGAGCCATCTGCCACCTAACAGACAATTATCTATTTGGGCCTGGTATTCTAAGCACTCTGGGTCTCAACTGATTTATAGCAGAGACTTCCAAATTTATAAGTTAATTTGTCAGATTGCTCTTTTTTTCCTTTCACCTGTAAGTCACTTGTTACTTTGGAGAGTTTCAGCTGCCCAGCCAGGCAACAAGCTTGTATTAAAATCAATTAGGAATGACAAAACTGACCTCTGAAAACCTGCACTATCATTTTCACCACTTAGATCCCTATCTTTTCCCGTGCTTTGCTCCATCCAAACCCAAAAGGGACCTGGCTTTCAAGCCCACCTGTGTTTCACAGAGGCAGCAGCAGAACAAAAAGCACTCAGAGGATGCTGTGATCCAGGTAACGAGGAAATGGGTCTCAGGATAAAAACTTGACCAAGAAAGTGTTTTCACTTTGAAGAGATGTGCAAATCTTTAGCACATTTAATATCTAAACCACTCCAAATCTCTGGGTTTATGCACTTGCAAAAAGCAGAGAGATGAGAGGGGGAGAAAAGAAGAAAAAGCTTCCCCCACCATCACTTGCCCTCCTTTTGTCAACAGGGAAGATTTCCAAAGGCAGAGCATTCCCAAACAGCTATTTGATTAGTTTTATCCATCTAGACTGGGATAATTAGTAAATGCTTAAAAGATGAAACCTAAATATACCAACCAATCAGCCCCTTTCAAGCACTTCCAAGGAACATGACACAAAGCCATTATCTACACAAGATAACCACTTCCCTGGCTCTTCAGCCTCCTTCCTTCAACTTCCCTTCAAACATTCCCCTATAAAATATCAAAGAAATTTCCAGTTTGGGTTAAAAAAAAAAAATAAGGGCAGGGGGGTGAGTGTAATTTCAATATTTCTTTCTCCATTGTATTCCTAACTTGTTTTTTCCCCATCTCTCTTCCTTTTCCTGCAGCTGGAAGCAGATTATTTCTGCTGACAGTTTCCAAAGCAGGACCAGTTCTTTCCCACCTTTAACCTCCTTGCCCCACAGCAGCTCTGTGCCACTTTGGGTCTTTAAGCTGCAATAATGCCATCTATTTTCCCCTCCTGTATAAAACAGAATTCGCCAGATGAAAAGAAAGAAAGAAAAAAAGGAACTGTCAGTCTTGTAGGAAGAAGTCTGCCTGAACACATTGGGATAACTCATTTCTGTTTGGAATAATGGATGCATTTTTCCCTTATCAGACTTGCATAAACCTGTATAATTCAGGATCTGCAGAAAAGGTAATGAAACAGCATCATGTTTATTTTGTGTTGCTGCACATGGAGATATAAATACCCAGGCAAACAGCAGGGCAGAATGCTATAAAAAGGCTGGAATTCATTTGAAAACCTTTAATAGAAAGCTGAGCAACTTCTCAGGTTACTTCTCTGGGCCCGTGTCCCTGGTAATGCTTTTATGTAACAGCAAAATGATAACAAAAAGGCTGCGTGCATCTCCAGAGCATGGAGATGCTCCATTTAGGCAGACACTGATAGCCAGAGCCTCCCTCTGGCTGCCTCTAAAAGCCTGGGAGTGCAGAGCAGGAGGAGCTGCAGCTCCAGGGACGTTACCAAGCAACCCCCTCAGATGGACACCAACATTGATAATCCATCCTAAAGTAATTACACTTTATAATTAAAGATTACAGGAAAGCCAATAGATCCCAACAGGAACTCCAGCAGTTTAAAGGCACCCTGGCTAACCTGCCTGTTTTCCAGCAGCCATGTTCTCTCCTGCTGGGATGGAGCACTCAGGAACTGCAGAGATTTCCATTTAATGGGCCCTCAAACGCTGCCAGCACCTTGGGATGTGGTAATCCAACATCCCCTCTCTCCTCCCACTTCAAATCAAACTCATCCCTTGGACTGATGTCCAAGGGCTAAAACCTGAGCCTGTCACTCCAAAGGAAAGCCAGGAGAGCACGAGCCCAGCTCCAGCTCTTTCCTCTCCACTGGTGACTGACACATCCTCTGGGCACCTTCCACTGCTCCTCAGCTCCTCCTGCTAAAACCCACTCAGCCTTTCCTCCCAGAGACTGGGCAGGGTGGAAACACCCAGAGGGAGCTGGGCACAGAAACACCCAGAGGGAGCTGGGCAGGGTGGAAACACCCAGAGGGAACTGGGCACAGAAACACCCAGAGGGAACTGGGCACAGAAACACCCAGAGGGAGCTGG